CTTGAGGGGCGGGATGTTCAGACGGCTGTAGAGGCGGTTTAGCGAATCACAACACACATAGCCAGCTGACCAATCTCAGTCCATCGCGTATTTCTGAGGGAGGGGCTTCATAAAAACAGGAAATAATCGAGGCTTTTGTTAGAGAAGGGACAGATCGGTGTGGAATAAAGGTAAATTATGTGAAAAATAATGCGTTTTTTAAAAAAACGAAGCATGAACATGTTAGACTGCATCTCATAAACACAGTCAAGCCTAGAAAAAACCCAGTCAACCACCCCTTTAAAAATAATGGGCGTGTCAGTCCTAAATTTAGGACTTCTAAATTTTTGTTCTAAGAGTATTTCACAAAGCGTTTTAGCGCTAAAATTAGCTCCTAAATCTGTGAAACGTTAGGAGTATTGAAGAGGACTCCTAAGCAGGCACGTGCAGAAGGGGGGGGCTTTGGGAGCTCAAGCCCCTGCCCTTTTTCAAAATTATTCAAAAGTGCCCCTCTCAGACAAATAGCAATGATATTGTGGTCAATAAAACAAAATGCATTTTAATTATAATTAACATGACAATGTGTACAAAACAATAATTAATCGCTCAAAAGTCGGAAAATTCCTGTTTATTTGAACATGTCTGTCAATCTGAGGCGTTGCTATGGTTGCCTGCGTTTTGCTCATGGTTTTGCTTGACTGACTGATATTCCAGTGAGTGGGTCGCCGGAAGGAAAAAATAAACTAAACAATATTTTAAACTTTTTTCATCAAAAATCAAGGCTAGTGTGTCGATTTAATTATTTTAGAATATTACATAATTCATCATTGCCCGTTTGTCATGTATAATGCACACCAACCAATCATGAACTGGCACAAGAGGTTCAAATTTCATTGGACAATAATGTGAAGTGGAGCCGTCATTTTCCGTTCTTATTCATAAATCAGTTGAAAATTACATGGGACAGACGAGCTTACATGTGTGGAGCAATCTGGATCTGCGGTTTGTCTAATTTTATAAATCAAATTACATCGCTGAGAAAATGGATGCTAAATGACTACAAAAGCACTGCACAAAACCGTGCAGCACCAAAAGTCGCAATAATGGTAATCAGTATTCAATTCACATATATTTATGTATGGTAGGCTAAACCGTTTACTATTTCATGAAACTATCATAGTTAATGAAGCCGAAGTGGCACCTACAGGCCTGTTATGTGAAGTGTAGGCTGGCGAAATGGTGACGTGAAAGGACTTTATTACCATTTTTGATAATTATGCAGCATTATGAAAGTGTCTTATGCTCATCAAGCCTGCATTTATTTGATCAAAAATACAGAAAAAACTAATATTGTGAAATATTACAATTTAAAATAATGTTTTTCTATTTTAATATATTCTAAAATATCATTTATTTCTGTGATGCAAAGCTGAATTTTCAGCATCATTACTGAAGTCTTCAGTGTCACATGATCCTTAAGAAATCATTCTAATATGCTGATTTATTGTCAATATTGGAAACATTTGCGCAGATTTTTTTATTTGTAACCTGTGATACTTTTTGGGGGTTCATTGATTTATATAGCATTTATTCAAAATAGAGATGTTTTCTAACAATATCAATCTTTACTACCACTGTTTCTATCAATTTAACAAATCCTTGCTCAATACTAATTACTTTCAAAAAAAAAAAAAAAAAAAACTGACCTCAAGCTTTTGACCTGTAGTGTATATTGTTACAAAAGTTATATTTTAAATAAATGCTGTTTTGTAAAACTTTTTAATCAAAGAATCCTGAAAAAGCAGGTTTCCAACATTGATAATAAATCAGCATTGCATAAAATGTATTTTAAAGTAAATTTTGATCAAATAAATGCAGGCTTGATGACCATAAGTGACTTCTTGCAAAAATATAAAATAATAGCCTAATGTATCCAAACATTTTACCTCTATATACACTGAACAAAATTATAAACGCAACTCTTGTTTTGCCCCCATTTTTCATGAGCTGAACTCAAAGATCTAAAGACTTTTTCTATGTACACAAAAGGCCTCTCAAATATTGTTCACAAATCTGTCTAAATCCGTGTTAGTGAACACTTCTCCTTTGCCGAGATAATCCATCCACCTCACAGGTGTGGCATATCAAGATGCTGATTAGACTGCATGATTATTGCACAGGTGTGCCTTAGGCTGGCCACAATAAAAGACCACTCTAAAATGTGCAGTTTTATCACACAGCACAATGCCACAGATGTCGCAAGTTTTGAGGGAGCGTGCAATTGGCATGCTGACTGCAGGAATGTCCACCAGAGCTGTTGCCCATGAATTGAATGTTCATTTCTCTAACATAAGCCGTCTCCAAAGGCATTTCAGAGAATTTGGCAGTACATCCAACCGGCCTCACAACCGCAGACCACGTGTAACCACACCAGCCCAGGACCTCCACATCCAGCATCTTCACCTCCAAGATCGTCTGAGACCAGCCACCCGGACAGCTGCTGCAACAATCGGTTTGCATAACCAAAGAATTTCTGCACAAACTGTCAGAAACCGTCTCAGGGAAGCTCATCTGCATGCTCGTCGTCCTCATCGGGGTCTCGACCTGACTGCAGTTCGTCGTCATAACTGACGAGTGGGCAAATGATCACATTCGATGGCGTCTGGCACTTTGGAGAGGTGTTCTCTTCACGCGATCATTGGCTCTTAAAATACTTCGTCATTTTTGGTCATACAGATAAGAGTAGGCTAATGCATCTTTTGTATCTGTAAAGACTATGTTTATTCGTGTGCACTCAGAATAACAACGAAACGTTACGCTTTTGTTAAATAATGAAAGCAAACAGGATGTGCTTTCTGTCGTCTCGGACTCTGTGAACTTGAGCGCATCACTTCGAAACTCCATGTACGCTTGCCTTATTACAGACATGAAAAATATATCTATAGAGAGTGAAACTTTTAAATGAAAAAAATTTAAATAGAAAACAAATATTCTCAGATTATGTAATCCGTATGAAACATGCATACAGGCGCATACTGCGGAGATGACGAGTCCGTGTCGCTGACTTCATCTCTTAAACTGAAAACAGAAAGCACTAGTGTAACAATAAATTAAAACGTTAATACAGTGTACTTGCTGTTTTTCCTTAACACATTCATAATTATTATATTTGCCGGTGCGCTGTGGCAAGCCTTTTTTGCGTGTGCTCGAGCTCTTATTAGGCTATGTAGGCAATTAAAGGCTCATTATTATGATTGATATGTTTTATTAATAAAAGTGCGACTAATAGTCAACTAATGCTTAAAATGAACGACTACTAGTCGACCAGAAAAATCTTTAGTCGAGGGCAGCCCTAATGCATATTGACTAATTGCTTACGAGAAGCATATAGAGGCTGACAATTAGCTGAATATATAGCCTTGTTTAATTAGTGACACTTAGCATTTTAAAATCTTTATTTGAATGTGGCAATTAACATTTTTATTTTAAAACCTTTTGTTAACAGAGTACGCTAAATAACAGACGAGAAGATACGTCTTTACCAACCACTCAGTCGCTCTGACTGGCACCTTTTTATTAAAACAGAAAAACACGTGCATTCCTTCAGTCACTGATTAGGTCACATGACATCTAGTGACATGACACATTAGACATCTGGATTGCCTGTCCCAAATAGAAAACAAAAATACAAATGAGAGCATACTATTTCTACATGTCAACACCCCCACTTGCTCTCAAATTGTGATTCCCTCATTCCACAGCTCATATCTACCCAGTTCATAAACCGAACATAACCAAATTAAATTTCATCAACTTAAGTTTTGTTGCTGGTTTAGTTAGTACATCTGCAAACATATCTTCCGTTGGACAGTACTCCAGACTAATTCTCCCTTCATTAATTACTGACCTCACAAAATGGTATTTAATGTCAACATGTTTACATCTTTGTCTATACACAGGATTTTTCGCTAAAGCTATAGCACCCTGATTGTCTTCATAGACTATAGACTCATACATTATACCATCAATGTTTTGTAACAATTGCTGCAAGTATAAACACTCCTGTATAGTTGCAGCTAATGCCATATACTCAGCCTCACATGTGGAAAGTGCAACAGTAGGCTGCCTTTTCGTCTTCCATGAGACCAACGGACCCTTTCTGTTTAGGCTAATGCAGTAACCTGTAGTACTCCGTCTATCATTAACATCTGCTGCCCAATTTGCATCGCTGTATGCATGTATAACGTTCTCATCTGCACCTTTCCTGTAACACAGTTCTTTGTCTTTGGTGCCTTGCAAATATCTCAAAACATGCTTTACAGTATTCCACTGTTCTATAGTTGGCTTATTGAAATATTGTGCCAGTTTACTCACTACAAAACTTAGGTCTGAATCTTTAGTCGAGGGCAGCCCTAATGCATATTGACTAATTGCTTACGAGAAGCATATAGAGGCTGACAATTAGCTGAATATATAGCCTTGTTTAATTAGTGACACTTAGCATTTTAAAATCTTTATTTGAATGTGGCAATTAACATTTTTATTTTAAAACCTTTTGTTAACAGAGTACGCTAAATAACAGACGAGAAGATACGTCTTTACCAACCACTCAGTCGCTCTGACTGGCACCTTTTTATTAAAACAGAAAAACACGTGCATTCCTTCAGTCACTGATTAGGTCACATGACATCTAGTGACATGACACATTAGACATCTGGATTGCCTGTCCCAAATAGAAAACAAAAATACAAATGAGAGCATACTATTTCTACATGTCAACACCCCCACTTGCTCTCAAATTGTGATTCCCTCATTCCACAGCTCATATCTACCCAGTTCATAAACCGAACATAACCAAATTAAATTTCATCAACTTAAGTTTTGTTGCTGGTTTAGTTAGTGTCTTTGTATATTTGTAGTTCTTTGCAATAATGAAGACAACATAAAGTTTGGTTGTGTATTGTTTTTTGAGTTGATGGCAGTCTAAAATGTTTCCTCATAGATATGTCTCTGTCTCTCAGGTGCGGAGCCGGATCAGGATCAGGATCAGGATCAGCAGGAAATAGAGGAGAACGAGGAAGGTTGTGACATCCTTCCCACTGCCGACTATCCTGCTGAAGAAGAGTCACACAGGCGCACACACACTCCACCCGAGCGACAGGATACTCCTGAGAACGAGGACGAGTGTGGAAACTCAAAAGAACAAGAGCAGGATGGAAATGAAGACGTGAGAGAGGATGAGGAAGAGGAGGATAAAACAGAGGAAGAGGAAACGGAAGCCACACCCTCACAGAGCGCCGAGGACGAGCCGAAGACACACAAGTGTCCAAATGAGGAAGAAGCAGATCCATCTAAAGAGACAATAGAGAGACAAGAAGACGAAGAGGAGGAGGAGGAGGAGGAGGAAGATGAAGATGAAGAATATGACGAGGAGGAGGCAGAGGATGAAGGCCAGGAACCGTCCTGCAAGGACCACAACAACACCTGTAAAACGAACGGTCACGTGATCATGTGTGCGCAGGAGCGTCTGTCCTCGCCTCTGCTCTGCCCTCTGGTGGAGTCTGAGATCAGCACGACCGACCGCGACGCTTCCGACACCTCGTACGAACTTTTCAACGGAGAGACCGTGCTGACGAACGGAGCGCGGCACCGCGGCACCACGCCACGCTTCCCCGAGCTTCCTTTGGATCCCCATCAGGACGACTGCGAGCACGACGAGGCCCATGCGCGCAACACCGACCGCAGCCGAACAGTGTCCTCGTCCAGCACCGGAGACACGCCCAAAGGTCAGACACGCTTCATACATGCATACATACATGACTGCTGTTTCCTTGAGCAGGTCAATAAGCTCTCTGTGCATCTGTCTGTCTGTCCGTCTGCAGCGAGGGTCAGAGCGACCGATCTGCTGGTGAATCCTCTGGATCCGAGGAACGCAGACGTTCTGAGAGTCAAAATCGCTGATCTGGGCAATGCATGCTGGGTGGTAAGACGTCCTACAGAACACTTCGACTGTCCATATGATTGTAAATACCCGTGTAAGGCTGAACGTGAGCTGTGTGATCAATGCGTTTCCAGCACAAGCACTTCACGGAGGACATCCAGACGCGGCAGTACCGCTCCATCGAGGTGCTGATCGGAGCGGGATACAACACTCCCGCTGATATGTGGAGCACGGCCTGCATGGTGAGCATCCGACCGTCACGCGTCTGCTGCCTCTGCGTCTGTCACTGAGTTTGATCTGTCTGTCGTCCACAGGCGTTTGAGTTGGCCACTGGGGACTATCTGTTTGAGCCGCACTCTGGTGAAGACTACTCCCGTGATGAAGGTACTGCTCAGCCGCCTGCGTTACGAACCTAATGCTCAGAATGGTGTCAAGCTCATACTGCACACCGTAAACCGCTGTCTTCAACATGTTTGCCATGACCCTTGATTTTCTACAAACAAACAGCTTTTTTATGGCTAGGGGATAGGGTTAATCAGACAATATCACGATTGATTTTACATCACTACATGTTCACTGCTCTCGAATCCATGAACTAGACTGACTGACACAAGACTGGATTCAGAACAAGAGAATCAACAAGAATTCTGTGATCAGCGTGATTTTTGAACATTATATTGACTCATTTTACTTTTTAAACTTGGATTAAAATGGCAAAATATTTACCAGATTGTCAGTTCAACACTGATGTGAAGCAAAGACCAGCTGACTGGACATGATCCCACTAATCATACGACTACTTCATAAATCAGTAAATGGACATGAGATATTGATGCAAGCATGAATGATTTTATTATGTGCAGGAAGAGAAAGTAGCACTGAGACAACGATCAATTATACAGTTCATTAGAGTCATTAGAGCACAGAATGACACAAGTGACCAATCAGAATCAAGTATTTCAGGCCCTTTCTGAACTACACACACAACATGACGAGATCATGCTTAAAATCGACACATGTGCAGTACGCTAATATGCCATTCTGAACACATCCGCTTCTGTCATTCACTCTGTCATCTTGATTCTGAAGCTGAAAGCTTAGCGTAACTGTTAGCATTCAGATGTCAGATCGTGTTTAGTGTGTTTTTCGCTGATACTAAACTTCCGCTTTCTCCCTTCTGATCCCTTCCTCCGTATTTTCCTGTCACGCTTCCCTCTTCCTCTCTCTCTCCTGTAGATCATATAGCTCACATCATAGAGCTTCTTGGCTGCATTCCTCGACACTTTGCTCTTTCTGGAAAATATTCCCGGGAATTCTTCAACCGGAGAGGTAGTGTTAGAGGCAGAGGGAGGACGGACGCGAGCACACACACACACACACACACAGACTGCAGCTTTATGGCTTGATGTTAGAGGGGTCATGAATTGCATTTTCACTTTTTTACATTGAGTTTTTTCACCAATTTTCAAAATATATGAAAATGATTATTTTTCATCCTCATTTTCACTCCATTTCATTGGGCATCATCTCTATAAGAAACGACAGTAATCGTCAAAATGCCGGGCTCTGATGTAGGTTTCAATACAATATATTGAGACAAACCAGCCACATAATTAAGAAAAAAACATGCTTGTTCACTTGCTGTTAGAAGGATAAGCTCAGTTCTTAGAGGTGCGGTTTGTGCTGAGGCATGAAATTTGCAGCATGTTTTTATTGTAGAATAACCTCTTATATGTGCAAATATCAAGGGCATTTTGATTTTCCATTTCATGACCTCTTTAATGACAGTCGGTCCTGCAGGTCTAATCTGAATCGGGCTGGTTTCACCCGGACATCAGACCTGTGTGTGTGTGTGTGTGTGTGAGCGTCCGTCCTCCTGCACCGCTGCATGAATAACTCATGTTGTATGTGTGTGTGTGTGTGTGTGTGTGTGTGTGTGTGTGTGGGGGTCAGACCACATCGCTCTGATTATGGAGTTACTGGGAAAAATCCCCCACAAGATCATCGCAGCTGGAAAATACAGTCGTGAGTTCTTCTCAAAGAAAGGTAACACTCGCAGTCTGGCGTCTGGCTCCGCCATTGAGGAGCTTTCATTCACTTTGTCAAATGGTTCGGCTCCGAGGTCTGCTTTCTTCCGTTCTGTCATCAGATACAGTAGAATAAATGATACCGGATTGGCTGATTTAGATCACTCAAATATATCGCACAATTAGGGCTGTGTCACAATTAGGACTGCAAAACGATTAATCGTGATTAATCGCATTCAAAATAAAAGTGTGTTTTCATACTATATGTGTGTGTACTGTGCATATTTATTATGTATACTGTATATAAATACACACACGTGTATGTATGTATATACTATATGTGTGTGTGTGTGTGTGTGTGTAAAAATATTTGTATGTATATATATTTGTACTTGTATATAATATAAATATTTTATAGGGCTGCCCCCTAATAGTCGACTAACCGTTAGTCAACCAGAAGAGACTTGGTCGACCAAAATTGAATTAGTCGCTTAGTCGCAGAAAAAAATTCCACAGGAAGTGGTGAAGTCATGCAGTCCGTGACGGACAGATCGTTAACGGCTGGTCGATGTTGTAATACAGTCGGGCAGGACATCCAAACGCTCGCCTATCATTCATTGAATTCAAATATGGCTTTATCTGAAAGATGTATGTAGTAGTAGCAACTTTACATGGCCGCTCAATCTAATGTAAAGCTAGTGCTCTAGTCCAGTGATTGTGTGAGAGTGTGGAAGCTGAACAGTAGCATGACAGATGGAGGCGCCGGTGCACTCACCTGCTCTTAAAATACTCTCTCATTTCTGGTCATACAGATAAGAGTAATAATGCTTCAAATGAACAACTACTAGTCGACCAGAAAAATCTTTAGTGATGGCAGCCCGTACACACACATATAGTATGTAAACAAACTTTTATTTTGAATGTGATTTCGCAGCCCTAGTCACAATCACTGACACGGTTAAGCCACAGAAAGACGACTGATATCATCCAGTCACCATTCTCTGTGATTCATTCTCCCTCTTTAGCTGGTTCTTTAGGTCAGTAACATGAACGACTAATGAGCATCTGTGAGAATCTCCCACCATTATTGGAGAGTAAACTGTAATCGCTGCTAGCGATGAGCTAACAGCACTGAGAGTGACTACAGCGGCGCTTAACTAACTGGTTCTATTTTGAGGCACTGGGCCTCCCTCTGACACAACATTCATGATGGAGTCATTTCCAATGCTCAGTCTGACCTGATACAAGTGATCACAATTCCCAGCAGTTTTTGATTGAGTTACTGATTGTTTACTTGTGTTTTACAAGCAGTAATAGTGTGGGCGGGTCTTGCATTAAACAGTAATAGTGTGGGCGGGTCTTGCATTAAACAGTAATAGTGTGGGCGGGTCTTGCATTAAACGGTAACAGTGTGTCTTGCATTAATAATATGGGCAGATCTTACAGTAATGGTGTGGGCAGGTCTTACAGTAATAAGTCTAACAGTAATAATGTGGGCATGTCTTGCATTAATAATGTGGGCGGGTCTTACATTAATAGTGTGGGCGTGTCTTACAGTAATGGTGTGGGCAGGTCTAACAGTAATAATGTGGGCATGTCTTGCAGTAATAATGTAGGCGTCTCTTACAGTAATGATGTAGGCGTGTCTTACAGTAATGGTTCAGTAATAGTGTGGGTAGGTATTGCATTAATAATATGGGCGGGTCTTTCAGTAATAGTGTGTCTTGCATTAATAATGTGGGTGAGTAATACAGTAATAGTGTGGGCAGGTCTTGCATTAATAATGTGGGTGGCTCCTACAGTAATGATGTAGGCGTGTCTTACAGTAATGGTACAGTAATAGTGTGGGTAGGTATTGCATTAATAATATGGTCGGGCCTTTCAGTAATAGTGTGGGCGAGTCTTACAGTAATAGTGTGGGCGGGTCTTACAGTAATAGTGTGGGTGGGTCTTACTGTAATAGTGTGGGCGGCTCCTACAGTAATAATGTGAGCGTGTCTTACAGTAATGGTACAGTAATAGTGTGGGTAGGTATTGCATTAATAATATGGTCGGGCCTTTCAGTAATAGTGTGGGCGAGTCTTACAGTAATAGTGTGGGTGGGTCTTACTGTAATAGTGTGGGCGGCTCCTACAGTAATAATGTGAGCGTGTCTTACAGTAATGGTACAGTAATAGTGTGGGTAGGTATTGCATTAATAATATGGTCGGGCCTTTCAGTAATAGTGTGGGCGAGTCTTACAGTAATAGTGTGGGTGGGTCTTACTGTAATAGTGTGGGCGGCTCCTACAGTAATAATGTGAGCGTGTCTTACAGTAATGGTACAGTAATAGTGTGAGTAGGTATTGCATTAATAATATGGTCGGGCCTTTCAGTAATAGTGTGGGCGGGTCTTACTGTAATAGTGTGGGTGGGTCTTACTGTAATAGTGTGGGCGGCTCCTACAGTAATAATGTGAGCGTGTCTTACAGTAATGGTACAGTAATAGTGTGGGTAGGTATTGCATTAATAATATGGTCGGGCCTTTCAGTAATAGTGTGGGCGAGTCTTACAGTAATAGTGTGGGCGGGTCTTACAGTAATAGTGTGGGCGGCTCCTACAGTAATAATGTGAGCGTGTCTTACAGTAATGGTACAGTAATAGTGTGGGTAGGTATTGCATTAATAATATGGTCGGGCCTTTCAGTAATAGTGTGGGCGAGTCTTACAGTAATAGTGTGGGCGGGTCTTACAGTAATAGTGTGGGCGGCTCCTACAGTAATAATGTGAGCGTGTCTTACAGTAATGGTACAGTAATAGTGTGGGTAGGTATTGCATTAATAATATGGTCGGGCCTTTCAGTAATAGTGTGGGCGAGTCTTACAGTAATAGTGTGGGCGGGTCTTACAGTAATAGTGTGGGCGGCTCCTACAGTAATAATGTGAGCGTGTCTTACAGTAATGGTACAGTAATAGTGTGGGTAGGTATTGCATTAATAATATGGTCGGGCCTTTCAGTAATAGTGTGGGCGAGTCTTACAGTAATAGTGTGGGCGGGTCTTACAGTAATAGTGTGGGCGGCTCCTACAGTAATAATGTGAGCGTGTCTTACAGTAATGGTACAGTAATAGTGTGGGTAGGTATTGCATTAATAATATGGTCGGGCCTTTCAGTAATAGTGTGGGCGAGTCTTACAGTAATAGTGTGGGCGGGTCTTACAGTAATAGTGTGGGCGGCTCCTACAGTAATAATGTGAGCGTGTCTTACAGTAATGGTACAGTAATAGTGTGGGTAGGTATTGCATTAATAATATGGTCGGGCCTTTCAGTAATAGTGTGGGCGAGTCTTACAGTAATAGTGTGGGTGGGTCTTACTGTAATAGTGTGGGCGGCTCCTACAGTAATAATGTGAGCGTGTCTTACAGTAATGGTACAGTAATAGTGTGAGTAGGTATTGCATTAATAATATGGTCGGGCCTTTCAGTAATAGTGTGGGCGGGTCTTACTGTAATAGTGTGGGCGGGTCTTGTGTTAATATTGTGGGCGGGTCTTACTGTAATAGTGTGGGCGGGTCTTGTGTTAATATTGTGGGCGGGTCTTACTGTAATAGTGTGGGCGGGTCTTGTGTTTAATAGTGTGCAGCAGCTGCTGATCCGGGGCATCTCTCTACAGGTGAGCTGAGGCACATCACCAAGCTCAAGCCCTGGTCTCTGTTTGACGTGCTGGTGGAGAAATACGGCTGGTCAGCTGAGGACGCCGGTCACTTCACTCACTTCTTGCTGCCCATGCTGGAGATGGTGCCGGAGAAACGGGCCTCCGCCTCAGAATGCTAGAGTCACTGACACCGCTGTGTGTGTGTGTTTGTGTATGAGAGAGAGAGTGTGTGTGTATGTGAGAGTGTGAGTGTTTGTGAGTGTGTGTATGTGAGTGTGAGTGTGTGTGTGATTGTGAGTGTGTGTATGTGAGTGTGAGTGTGTGTGTGTGTGTGTGATTGTGAGTGTGTGTGTGTGAGCAACACAAACTGCTAATTGGTGTTTCTGACAGGAAGCCCACCCGAGTCCCTCTGCATGAAGCCCCGCCTCTTTCGCCCCACCATCCAATCAGATTCTGCAGTGGAGCTGTTTACAAACCTCATCTCTCTCTCTCACACACACACACACACACACACACTGCCCTGGGAAATATGAATCCAGAAGACAAAGAGACGCTTGGGTTTGTGGACGTTGGCGCCGTTGACTGTTTCCCGTCTGGATTAATGTTTTGATTCGAAGCTTCGATTCCTGATTCCGTGGCGGCGCTCTGCTCTTTCTCCGGCAGGACGGCCGTCGTGCTCCAGGGCTGCACTTGTGTTCATACTTGTGTTCAGGGAAACGTACCGATGTACAGAGATCCAGCAAACTGTCCATAAACTCGCAACTGCTTGAGCGCAAGATAAACACGCAGTCGTCATGGAGACGTGACGCAGCCGCTGCTCGAAATACATCATCATCATCATCATCATCGTCACAGTTAGTCCAGTTGCCTATTTTCGCAATAAAAGTAGATGGTGAAATATTTTTTAATATATTTAAATTAATTTAAAAGAAAAGCAGTTCTCTGATGTTGTGACCGTGACAGAGTTTAGTCGTAACAAGGTGATTGTGTTTTGTCTATTCTGAGATGTTTTATTTCCTTTGTTTTGGTTTTTGTTCAGTTGTCTCCTCCTTCATGGCATTGACTCGTGCTGCTCTGTGAGGACTCGTGCGATAGTCATGGATTTTATTGAAGGTTTTTGCAATAATAGTGATTACGATGATGAACTTTTGCACTGGAAGCTCCTGATGTGTCTCACGCTGACTGTTCTTCCCAACTCCACAACTGCGTTCTTGTTTTTCATCGACAGATTTAATAAAGTTGTAAATTAATGGATCACATTGCCTGAACATTTCCACCATTCTTGCTCTGCATGCGAGTTCATTTATGATGAGCAGTGCTCCAGCTCTGTCGGTTAGTTAGTGTCGTGTTTAACTCGTGAGTAAAAGGCACACAAACATCCTTGGACTCCTTTATTCTCTGACTCCACGATGCCCCCTCGTGGCCGGAAACAGTATTAGGAATCAAACCATGTCAAATATTGTCATGTAGTTTCACTCCTAGATTATCCCACAGTTCCCTTTCATGGGAACTTCAAACTGCGTCCTCTAGGGGTCGCTATGGGGAACGCCTCGTTGTGTTCCGTGTCTGAAGCATACATTGAAAAAACACCAATTCGTCAGCTGTGCACGAGAGTGAGCCGAGCTATGTTATTTCATTAACATTGTCTGATTCAGGGGCCATTGCTCTGCTGGGATCAGCCCAGCAAAAGCAGGAAATAGCTGAGGAGGGCAAAGAAGCTGAGGCTGAGCCTTCCCAATCCTCCTGCCCTGCGTATGATGAGCTTTTGGAAATTATGGATCTGACATCTCGCTCAGATATCAGGGCATACGCAGCAGCAGCAGGTCGGGCTGTCGCTTCATTGCACACGATGGTGATGCTCCAAGCATATCAGGCTGACCGGCTGAAAGACCGGGATAGAAGTCCAGGTCTGAGCCCATCTCAGTTTGAGGATCAGAGACTGGCTCAGAAGGCTAGTGTCGCGGCTCGCGCTCCTCCCGCGGGTAGGGGTAGGAAGAATCGCGGGTAAAAGGAAGGTGAGTAAAAGACCTAAGGGATGTGATCCAGACAGGGCGTCAGTGCTTTTGTCCGGATCACTCTGAGGTACCCGTACGGGCAAGCTTCTTTATGGGGAAGTCGTGGCCTAATGGTTAGAGAGTCGGACTCATAACAAAGGTTGTGGGTTCGAGTCTCGTACCGGCAGGGATTGTAGGTGGGGGGAGTGAATGTACAGCGCTCTCTCCCACCTTCAATACCACGACAAGGGGCCCTTGAGCAAGGCAACGAACCCCCAACTGCTCCCCGGGCGCCGCAGCATAAATGGCTGCCCACTTCTCCGGGTGTGTGTTCACGGTTTGTGTGTGTTCACTGCTGTGTGTGTGCACTTTGGATGGGTAAATGCAGAGCACTAATTCCGAGTATGGGTCACCATACACTGTCATGTCACTTAACTTCACACTTCTGGGTTCAGAAACCGGGTGCTCGACTTGCAGTGATTATTTCACTCTATATGTGTCCAACAGTAAAGCCGGTTTTCGGCTTCATACTTCCTGGATCATGCGGCCAGCGGATCATCAGGTCCCCGGCGCGTCACTGCAAAAATTTCCTGGGCTGGGGTTACACTTTCATGCTACCCTGACTGGTCTACCGTATCTGGGCTTCCCGATCACCAGGATATCCCCTCTTGCTGAGGCGTCTAACGTCCCAGGGGTGACTCCCATAGCAATATGGTAGAGTTGGTACTTAGTGCTCGCCATGGTTCTGGCATGCACTCCCCTCTGCATGGTGGCGTGGGTATACCGTTCCCCATAGCGACCCCTAGAGGACGCAGTTCGAAGTTCCCATGAAAGGGAACGTCTCAGGTTACTTATGTAACCATGGTTCCCTGAGTAGGGAACGAGACACTGTGTCCTCTAGGTTTCTTGCCATGCTGCGGACGCACGCTTCAGATGAAGAAGTGAATGATGTGTGCTCCCGGCGCCTATTTTATAGTCGCACCGGTAGTGACATCATGGCTGTCGCCGGCCAACGAGTTGGTGTTTTTTCAATGTATGCTTCAGACACAGGTCACGACGAGGCATTCCCCATAGCGACCCCTAGAGGACGCAATGTCTCATTCACTACTCAGGGAACCATGGTTACATAAGTAACCTGAGAGGTTAGTAGTCAGTACTGTTCCTGTACTGCTATGCTCTGTAAGTACACTACGGTGGTGATGAAGAATATCACATACAGTTCAGCATCATCCACTAAATCTGACAAACCTTCATTTGGCTTCATTCTCTGTAGTGTGAACAGCTTTTGAGTTCCTTCCTTGAAAGATTTCAATATATTGTTATATCTTAAACTTAAAGGGGTCATATGATGCCATTTCAATTGTTCTTTCTCTTTGGAGTGTTACAAGCTCTTGGTGCATAAAGAAGATCTGTAAAGTTGCAAAGACTAAAGTCTCAAATCCAAAGAGATATTCTTTATAAAAGTTAAGAGTCAACAAAATAATGTTGTTTTTAGCAGCATCATATGACCCCTTTAACTTCAGCACTGCAGGGTTGATCAAACACACCTGCAGCAGGTAAAGCAGGAGAGTGTCTGGTGAAGCTGCATCTGCAGGAAACCTGGTAAGAAATTTACATGATGGACTGAATTCAGAACAGCATAAATCTGACCATATGACTATCTTTAAGAGTTTGTTTGCTTGTTTAATCCTGTTAATTCAACAGATGGAGGCTTCTCTACTGTTACCGCATCTTCAGACATGAAATTTAAGACTCCAGTTAGATTTTTAAAAATATATATTTCTCTGTGATCTGCTTTCAGATGACTGCTGCGAGTCTGAATAACCTGCTCATCATGAGCCTCAAGCAGATCTAGGACTGAACAGAAACGATTGGGACAAAAGAGTTTTTACTTCTCTTTTATTCAGTTATTTACATGAAAACACATAATATTTAGCAGGTCAGCTTTATTTCTGTAGCGCTTTAATAGAGATCATTTCAGAGCAGATTCACAGAGATAAACAGGAATATGATAGAATCAGTGATGCAAATGTCATTGAATACGAGACAAATTCCGCTTAAAAACTCTCTCTTCTTTCTCTCTCCATTATTATTATTATTATTATTATTGTTGTTGTTCATTTGCCTCACATGACTTGATTGATTAAATATTTTATCAGAGAAAATGATTCTCAGGTCGGTATACGTCAATCCCATTGACACATAAGGATCATCATCAGTAATATTTTTCCAGTAAAAGGCTCTAGTCATGTGCATTATTTCAGAAGCGAGGGGGGCAGAAATGTAATATGTAAATATAAATCCGTCAATCTCGTTCCAGCACAACCAATAGCGAGAGTTTAGGGCATGGTAGTGCTACTGGATCTTAGCGCTGTGTTCGACACTATCGACCACAACATTCTTTTGCATAGACTAGAAAACTTTGTTGGCATTAATGGAAGTGCATTAGCATGGTATATGAAGAGGTATCATATCGATCACAAGTGCAGTATGGAGTACCTCAAGGCTCAGTACTAGGGCCGTTACGCTTGGGAGATAACATCAGGAAACACGGTGTTAGCTTTCACTGTTATGCTGATGATACTCAGCTCTATATTTCTTCACGGCCCGGCGAAACATACCAATTTGAAAAACTAACGGAATGCATAGTTGATAAAAAACTGGATGACGAGTAATTTCTTACTGCTAAATTCTGAAAAAACAGAGGTGTTAACCCATCAATAAGCCTCAATAACATCCAAAAATGACATGTTTGAAATTGCATAAAAGAAATCAAATGGTCACAATTAGTCTGTGAATGTTAATATTGAGAAATAAAGTTCGCAACATCAGTGTTTGTTTTCCACAGGTTTTATTAAGAGATATATTACAAATGTCTAGACGCCGCGAGGGGTCTTGAAGTTCATGCCGACAGGAGGCTGAGTCACCTGAAGATTGGACAGGTTGCCGAAGTCCTGACGGAGAGAGAAACACCGTTAGCGAGGACAGAACGATCGACTGACGGAGTCAGAGGCGCTCATCAGTGTTTAAGACCATGAAAACAGAGCAGCGCTCAAACGAACAGCTCACACTGCTGGCCAGAAAACAAGCCGATGCAGTTTATATAATCAGAAGATTCTCTAAATCAGGGGTGTCCATACCGGTTCCTGGAGACCTAGCTTCCTGAACCCTGATCAAACACACCTGAAGCAGCTCACCAGGATGCTCAGGAGCGCTTGATAATTACAGACAGCTGTGTTTGATCAGGGCTGGAGCTGCACTCTGCAGGAAGCTAGATCTCCAGGAACAGCGTTAGGCAGACCTGCTCTACATAAACCCAGAACCACCAGAGACGCTTTAGCAGGACTGAAGCCCACAGAGCGAGAGACTGACACGGATTCACTCGATATCAGGCCTCGAGCGTCACAATTACAATATGAATCATAATGCATCATGATTGCAGTATGTTGATTCCACTGAATCTCAGAAAGTTCTCTGCTTCATCATGTAAGTCACTCAAAAATAGAGTGTTTCATTGTTAGCTCACGTCTAACAGCCTCTAAACTCAAGGCAAAAGCTGAACTGTCATATGAGCTGTTACACTGATAAATCAACTCCTCTAACCATGATTGAAGCATTAATGTAATCATTAGCTGCAGCAAAAACAAGCGTGTGTGAAAGATTCAGGGTTTGTCAGGAACAGGATCCAGCAAACACGGGAAAGTCTTTCACTTCCTCTTCCTGTTTTATCAATGACCTGGAGACGGTGGCTCCACAGTCACTTTCGACACAGGTTCATCAGACCACAGACACACACACAGAGAGAGAGAGACGGAGAGACACAGAGAGAGAGAGAGAGAGACACAGACGGGAGAGATGCACAGACAGACGGAGAAACAGAGACGCACAGACAGACGGAGAGACGCACAGACAGACGGCGAGACGCACAGAGAGACGGCGAGACGCACAGAGAGACGGCGAGACGCACAGAGAGACGGAGAGACGCACAGACAGACGGAGAGACGCACAGAGAGACGGAGAGACACAGAGACGCACAG